CACGGTCCCCAGCCACCCAAGTTCCAAGTGGAGGCTGGCTGGAAGCAGGTATCTGGGATTTATTTGTCTTCTATAATTGAAACTTTGATGCCATGAGCTGAGGCCATAGCTGGCTCAGGGCAGGCGGGAAGCTTGACTTCCTCCATCACCCGGACAACCCAGCCTCCTGCTTGCTCCAGCTCCGTGGCTGCCGGCCGCCATCTTGGTTGGGTTAATTGCATATAGTCACTCTGATTAGCTGGTGGGCATGGCTTGGGGCATAGTGAAGGTACGGTCAATTAGCATCTTTGTCTCTTATTAGTGTAGATTAAAGACCATGATATATTTATGTCAAATTTTTTTTCCCACTGGTTTCCATTGAAAGTAGAATATGGGGTTTTCTTCTTGTTAGTATTCAACAAATACATCTAGAGCAGTTTTATGAAAGTTATTTTGAATGAGTTAGCTGTTTTAAGGGGAATTTTTAAGAATGCTATTTTTTCTCAGATATTAGATGACTTTTCCAAAGCTTTAGGTCTTAGAACTAGAAGGGAATTTAGAAATCATCTAGTCCGAATATTTCATTTGATGGATTAGGAAACAGGATCATATAAGTTAAATAGTTTTCCAAGGCCACATGACCATGAGTGACCTTACAATTAATTGTATAAAATAAGTAAGCTTGCTGAATAGATTCTTATTTTTATTATTTCATGTAATTATAGGGGGAATTCTATATTTAATGGAAATCAAGGGGGAGTTTACATCTTTGGTGATGGACGAGGCCTTATTGAAGGAAATGACATTTATGGTAAGCATGTGGCTTTGTTCTATAAAATTTTAGAGTTTGACTTCTCTTCCTCACATTAGCAAAATGGAACAGTTTGACACTATCCAAGTAGAACCGATCCAATTTTTAAAATTCTCATTAAAGATTTTCTGTGATATTTATTCACCTACAAACATTTACTAAATACCTACTATGTACCTGGCACTATGCCAGATACCAGGGATCAAAAAAGGTAGATAAATAGATTCAAGGAGTATCTACAGTTTCCTTAAATTATTCCATTGTTTAATAATTAATAAATTATTGCTATGGTAGTTTGGTACTTTGGTACTGCTAGGAAGGGAAAATACTTAATCCTCATTAAAACTTCAGCAAACTACTGGATGTCTATGTGCTAGACACTGATATGTTCCTGGATTTTCTCCTTTGCTAACACCTGATAATACTTACATAAAGTTTACTCAGTGTCAGGCACTGTTCTGAGCACCTTATCTAAATTAAGTCATATAATATTCACATCAACCCTGTGAAGTAAATACTATTAAATATCTCCATTTAGTGATCAAGAAACAAAGGTACAGAGATATTAAATGACTTATTCAAAATCACACAGGAAGTAGATAGAATTCCTGGGATTTAAAATTATGCAGCCTAACCAATTGTCTCTACCCTTAATCACTATACTTACAATGCCTACAATCCTTGGCATTTTTTTTTACACTTAGATCCTTCAGTTTTGTCTTGTATTACTCATGAGCCATAAGTATCTTTCTGAATATTACATATTTCACAGAGTTGTGCTTTTACTAAAATTCTAGTAAGAATGTTAGCTACTACAGAATGTAAAACTTTTACTATGTTTCGCTAGGCTCCATATGTTGATATTATAACTTTTACTTTTAAATAGGAAATGCATTAGCAGGAATTCAGATTAGGACAAACAGTTGTCCCATTGTTCGACATAACAAAATTCATGATGGCCAGCATGGTGGGATTTATGTGGTAAGTTAATGAATACAGTTCTAGAATTTCATACATCAAAACCAGAGGAGTAGGGGCGATGGGGCAGAATTATGTTTAGCTTGAGGTAGTCCAACTTTTAGAGTATGAATCTGTAACTGTCTTTAATATTTAGACAATGAATAAGACCCTTTTCTCCCTGCCAGTATATATAAAAATAAAAGACTTTTAATTTTATAGTGTTTGTAGTGTTCTATAAAATTTAATCAACTGACTAAATTTAGGCATAGGAAATACATCTTTCTATTAAAGATTTTTATTATAATTGGCAATATGAAGTAACAACTGATTGTCTGTCTTTAGTTATATTTGTTGCACTGGAATTTTGTCACTGTGACTACTGTATCAATCTCTGAAATTTTCCAAAAGTAATAACACTGAAAATACTAATATCACTAAACTTAAACATTTTTATCTTCTGAAAAGGCCAATTTTCTTTTGAATTTATGTTGTAATATAATTGAGCATCTCCCAAAATTTTAAAACCTGTGTATGTCCTTTGTTACCATGGTATCTGAAACTGTTACAACAGATTCAAGTAAGAAAATAATAGGATCCTAATTTCTGAAAGATCTTTATGAACGTTTTTTGTGACTCTAATTTTTATTTACAGTTCTAGAAATATTCATGTCTCTAATGTGCTAAAAATAAAAATTTTAGCAACCCTGAAGCCTTATCATTTTGAAGTGACTTTACCAGTGTTAATGTGAAATAACTGTTAATTACTAAATGAGAGATCTTCAGTTTGCTGTGTATCTTAGAATGAAATAAATGATTTTCCTAAAAAAAATTGCATGCTACTACTTTTACTATAATAGATTTAAGAGTATATAACCACATAATGGACAGTATAAACATTTTAGAAGCCGAACTTAGAGGCTACATAAAAATGTTATCATTGCCTCCTTACCTGGATAACAAAATTTTTTTAAAATTTTGTTAAAACTGTCTTTAAAGAGGGGAATACACTATAAACTATCTTTTGCTGATACAAAATGGATATTGTAGTGAATGTATCTTTTATTTAGCATGAGAAAGGACAAGGTGTAATAGAAGAGAATGAAGTTTATAGTAATACTCTGGCTGGAGTCTGGGTGACAACTGGCAGCACTCCAGTACTGAGAAGAAACAGGATACACAGTGGCAAGCAGGTAAGATGGCCTTGGATTCCTGTATGGGAAATCATGGTTTTATTCAACACTTTTGTCACATGAAAAAAATTTTTTTTTTTAATTTTAGGTTGGTGTTTATTTTTATGACAATGGACATGGAGTGCTAGAAGACAATGATATCTATAATCATATGTATTCAGGGGTTCAGATAAGGTAAATGTTTTTCACAATTGGCTTTTTTGGGGGGAGGGAATGAGGAATATGTGGAGTCCGTAGAAGAAATTTTCTTGTTATTCAGTGCTCAGTCTTTATTCCTTTGTGTGTGTCTGTAATTCACACTCTGTCGTACTCTTGGCTTAAATTGTTAGATTGTAACTTTTCTTGGACTAGTTGAGGACAGCATTCAGTGTACTCCATCATACTTGGATACTATGGAAGACTATATAAAATACTGGTGAACTATGTCTGACATGTTGTAGGCACTCGTAAATGGAAGCTTTTGTTTTTATGCTATTTGTGCAAAATTAATAGTCTCTTACACTCCTATACCCTATATCTTAACAGTTTTTGGAACTATAGTAGTCCTAATCATATAATTCAACCCTTCATTTTACATGAGGGGAGTACATAATAATAATAGTTATTTATTCTTACCCCCTCCATTTAGTTTACATGTTAAGAAACTCTATAGTAATAACATAAAGTATAGTTAAATGTGTTCTGTGGGAAATAGAATTAAGCTAGCCCTAACCAGTTTGGCTCAGTGGATTGAGCATCGGCCTGCGGACTGAAGGGTCCCGGGTTTGATTCCGGTCAAGGATTTGTACCTTGGTTGCGGGCACATACCCAGTAGGGGACGTGCAGGAAGCAGCTGATCAATGTTTCTCTCTCATTGATGTTTCTAACTTTCTATCCCTCTCCCTTCCTCTCTGTAAAAAATCAATAAAATATATTTTTTTACAAAAGGAAAAAAAGAATTAAGCTAAATTAAACAAATTTCTTTATTGACAGGCTTTCAGAGCATTTTGAAGGACTCCATTGTATAGTTAATTCTTTTCATTTAATATATTTTTATGTATTTCAGAGAGGAAGGGAGAGAGAGATGGAAACGTCAGTGATGATAGAGAACTATTGATTGGCTGCCTCCTGCACACTCCACACTGGGGCTATAGCCTGCAACCCAGGTATGTGCCCTGACCAGGAATCGAACCATGGCCACTTGGTCCATAGGTTGACGTTCAAGCATTGACCCACACCAGCCAGGCTATAGTTAATTCTATGATTAATGTGTACTTTTTCACTGTTACCTCATGGGATATAGGAACAGAAGCAATTAAAATGGCATTGTTTTCTATTCTATTCATAGGACTGGAAGCAACCCCAAAATTAGGCGCAACAAAATCTGGGGAGGACAGAATGGTGGAATTCTAGTTTATAATTCCGGTATGTATAATCCTTCATCTGTCTCGCAGTGCTAATAGTCTTTAAGAATATACTTTCTAGCCGAAACCGGTTTGGCTCAGTGGATAGAGCGTCGGCCTGCGGACTGAAAGGTCCCAGGTTCGATTCCGGTCAAGGGCATGTACCTGGGTTGCGGGCACATCCCCAGTAGGATATGTGCAGGAGGTGGCTGATCGATGTTTCTCTCCCATCGATGTTTCTAACTCTCTATCTCTCCCCCTTCCTCTCTGTAAAAAATCAATAATATATATTTAAGAAAAAAAAGAATATACTTTCTAAATAACATAACCTAAATTTTTGCATTTATAGGTCTAGGCTGTATAGAAGACAATGAAATATTTGACAATGCAATGGCTGGAGTCTGGATTAAGACAGATAGTAACCCTACACTAAGAAGAAATAAAATCCATGATGGAAGAGATGGTGGCATCTGTATATTTAATGGGGGTCGAGGTATTGTTGTTAATTTTGCATTAGTAAAAACTCCAATTTTCAATTATTCTTCTTCTATATCTTTAACAATCAATGGCATTGCCAGTTAACATGAATCTCAATTATTTTTTCTTATCAAGTCTTGAGATGGTTTAGGAGATTAGTGCCTAGAGTTAAAGGAAACAAATGTTTACAGTATTTTTCTTTTCTTTCTGTACCACCGTGAGTGTGCCAGTTTGTTAGTAAGGCTTTCTTAAGGTAGCAGAATTTGTTCACAGCCTCTCTGGACTTTTTATTCAGAAGAGTGATATAATAAACTTCAAAGTCAAGTTATAGAACTAGGTGTGAGAACTTAATTGGTCTGTAAATATATGAAATGTCTGTAATAAGTATTGCTTTGTATCTATTTTACAACGATGTTTGTTGGGTAATGGAATTAATGAAGCTAAGGTGTGCTGGGTTTGGTATCCATGAAGGCCAAGTCACTTTGTATTGAGGCAAAAGTTCCACAGTCCCTGCCCTTTGAAAATTCATGTTCATAAGAAAGACTGGGAAAGAATGTCTAATGCAAATTTATCGCCATACCTGAAATATCAGTGACCCAACATTGTGTGCTCACCTTATGTGGAAAGATAGCTAGTTATTACTGTGACATACCAAGATTTAAACAAAATTTACTACTGCAACCAAGCAAGGGTAATTTTCTTAAAGACATAGACTCTCCAGGAGTTTACAGTCTAGTAATTCAATAAAGTAACATATCTCTGATAGGAGTCTTTAAAAGATATAATGAGGAAACAATACAGAATGGTGGTTTTATTTGCAAGGTGCTGAGAAAAGATTTATGGAGTAAAATTATTCTTGAAATGTCTCTTGAAAATTGAGTATTCACAGGAAAATGGGAGTGGGAGGGGGTGGGAGGCCATTCCAGGTATAGAAAATATTCTTTCACTCTTTCATTTGTTATTCCTAATTGAACACCTCTGTACCAACCACTGTGATACAGATGCTAAAGATATAATGGTGAATAAAACAGTACTACATCCAGAAAGTTTACAGTCTAATGGAGTAGCACATTGTAAACAAACGTCTAAATGAAACTGAAAGTGGTCTCTTTAGTAAGACAAGAGGTACTGGAAGTTAAGGCTGGAGAGAGGGGGCAGGACCCAAGTCATAAAAGGCTTTTGTATATGCAGTATGGAGTTTGGACAAGATCTTAGCAATGCAATAGCAATTGAGGAGGTTAGCGGACATATGTAAGAATAGAGACAGGAACTTGGAACACTCTTTTCAGGGGAAAGGGAATTTAGGGGTCAATACCAGGTGGGTCAGATATCTATAAAAATAAGACCATGTTTCATATCTTTAGGGAGCAGAGAAACATTAGTTCACAGCTAACTATAGTTCACTGTACATAAGTAGGTTTTATAGGAGCAATACTAGCTAATACTTATTTAGTGCAATGTACTTTTATATATATTAATTTAATCCTTATAATAATTGTATGTGGTAGGTGATATTGTGCCCATTTTAAAGATACGGAAACTGAGACCTTGAGAAGGAAGTTATTTGCCCACTCAGAGCTAGTTAAGTAGTGGAGTCAATATTTGAAGACCTGAAGTCTGATTCCTGGCTGACTTTTAGTAATTGTTAAACTGTCAAGAGAATTAATAATAAATTTGATTAAAGGGAATTTGATTAAAGGAAACTGAAAATTTCCCAGAGGAAGTGACATTAGCAAGAATAGAGTACAGGACATTCCAGAAGAGGAAATAATATAAACCAAAGGTATTAAGGATTAAAATATTCAGAGCAAATGAGACAAGTAGTTTGGGGGGCGGGGGAATATTTTCAAAAGCTTTTAATGGCAAGTTAACTTAATACTTTATTATGAAAGATTTTTAAGCAGAGAAGGGACATGATAAGAGTTGTAGGAACCTGGGAAAATACAGCAGCAGCTGAGACTGGAGTAAAGGAAATTGATCAAAGAATCATAGTAATAATGGCCAGAAATAATCAGAACTTGAAACTTTTGAGGGTACTAAAAAGTTCTAAAAATATTTCAAAGGAATTGTAATTCAGCAGTGTTCAGTGAAAATCATCTATGTGCCAGGGGATGCAGTGGTGAGTAAATTAGACATGGTCCCTGCAACCATGGAATTTGAAGTTTATTAGTTAGAATGTTTACCTGCAATTTTTGGCTAAACCTTGCCTTAAATGCTGAATTACTAATGAACTTTCTTTTTGGCTGAAAAATTCTGTGAATTTTACAATGCAGTTAAATAAGAAACTTAAAAAACAAACAAAAAAAAACCACCTAAATGACACCAAAAAGGCTAGTAAAATTTATTATATGCATTAGCTTTAATCTGAGAAAATATTTTATTATAGGTCTCCTTGAAGAAAATGATATTTTCAGGAATGCTCAAGCAGGTGTTCTCATCAGCACTAATAGTCATCCAGTCTTACGGAAAAACAGAATATTTGATGGATTTGCTGCAGGTTTGTATTTTCTTCTGTTACCTGTAGCTTTATTTTTCTATACATTAAAAATGGTTGGTTTTTAGTATATTATCTTTTTCTTAATAACTAAAGGTGTGCCAAGTGTGCTGCCAAAGTGGCAGAATGCCTGTTAACAATGAGAGTACCTAATCCAAGTTCTGGATTCTTCCACAAACCTGTAAGAAATATTGCTCTTTGCTGTTCAGTAGTAATTATGAAACATTAATTGGGATAGAATAAATGCAGGCTTTGTACTACTATTAGGAATACAGAAAAATTGTAGCCCTCTGGCCTCACACACACATTTTTTTTACATCTTGGTAAATTAAATCCAAGTATCATCCTATATAGTAAAAGCCTAATATGTTAACACATTTCCTACCGCTCACGAGTGTTCTCGTTTTTCACGCCCATGGAAAAAGGAGCGAATCTAGATACTTATGTAAATTTTGTTTGGTCCCTCTTCATAGAAGAAAATGTTTTATGCAGTACCATACGTTAAAAAAGTACTAGGAACTTTGTTTTTGTAAATAAAAATGTTATAATTATTGAAAAACAACACCTAGGAGAAGCCGCGTGGCGTCGAGGTGAGTAGGAGAGGACTTCGGGAAAAAAAAAAGAAAAACAACACCTAAAGTGCATTATGATATGATGATTTAAATAACGTGCAGTTTGCCCAAAAACGTGCTGCTATGACTTGCACTGACCACCAGGGAGCAGACGTTCCGACTTACTGGTAGGTTAGCTTGCTGCTTGGGTCCAGCAGATCGGGACTGAGCAAGATGGGCCGGACATGCCCTGGAGCCCTCCTGTGGTCCCTCCCTGGCTGGCCAACCTCCTGCATCCCTCCCAGGCCCCAATTGTGCACCAGTGGGGTCGCTCGGCCTGGCCTGTGCCCCCTCACAATCCAGGACCCCTTGCGGGATGTCCAAGAGCTGGTTTCAGCCTGATCCCACAGGCCAGGCCGAAGGACCCTACTGGTACATGAATTCATGCACTGGGCCTCTAGTTCTATATATTTCAACTTTTTGCTAATGCAGACAGTTACTTTTAATACTCAAAATAACCATCTAGTTCCTTTTCAGCATATAAACCAGCTGCTAACTAATCATATTTCTAGGCACTGTTCTCTTGGTTTGCAAAGATATTTTAAAATATTAAAAGTAATAAGTCGTTAATGCCATTATTAACAGTGGAAAATGTTACTGTTTGTGATTCAAATAAACATTTGCACTTTATTCCCGTTAAGAGTTCAGTTTCTTTTAAGAAACTAGATAAATACATCTGCTGTTTAAATTTTACTTCAGGTATTGAAATTACAAATCATGCAACTGCAACATTAGAAGGCAATCAGATTTTTAACAACCGGTTTGGAGGCTTATTTTTAGCATCGGGTGTTAATGTAACAATGAAAGGTATGTTGGAGTCTACATTCTGCTTTATAAATACATGAACTATGCCATGAAGACAGTATTCAGAAGCCACTCTTCTTTGATAACTTAATTCCTTCTGTCACTCTACAAAAGTTACAACAGCTCAAGGACTATTTTCAAAGAAAAGTTTTGACTTATTCTAGTTGGAATATCTTATACAAGGAAAGTCTTACTTTTCTTAGCTTATTTACTTAATTAACCTCTTTTGACTTATTAATCCTGTAATCTATATTTTTATCTTAAATCTTTGTCCTCTAGAATTTTACTTGTTTTTTTCTTTTATTACAGATAACAAAATAATGAACAATCAAGATGCCATAGAAAAGGCTGTTAGTAGAGGCCAGTGTTTATATAAAATATCAAGTTATACCAGCTATCCCATGCATGACTTCTACAGGTATATTTCTAAATTATTTGTTAGTCCAGAAAAGATGGTGATTCCCCTCCCCCCGCCTTACATGTGTGAGTAAAGACAGAGTAAATTGGGTATTTACCAGTGGAAAAACAATATAACTTAATTGTCCACATTGAGTTCTATGATCAATCTATTAGAGGATCCTGTTTGAGACCATAAATATCAGAAAAAGCACAAGTCATTTAAGTGTGGAGTGGGTGTTAATTCCTCCCTAAAATAATTCAGTAGTGCTTAAGAGGCAAGTTTCAGTGGCCTTTCTATAATGTTTTCCTCAGAAGACAGAACAATCCATTTAATCCACTTTAGTCTCTACAGAATTGTAGGCTAGAGCCACAAGAATTTTTAGTCCTCTTTTGTAAGCCAAAGCTCATATATACAAACAAAATAGTTATTTTGATTAACATGTTTTAAGAAAAATGTTTTTACTTTTTAGATGTCACACTTGTAACACCACAGATCGAAATGCCATATGTGTGAACTGCATTAAGAAGTGCCATCAGGGACATGATGTAGAATTTATTAGACATGATAGGTATGTAGCATACTTGCCTGTTTTATCACCCAATTATTCCCCCTCCCCCTTCTTGCCTATTCTATTACCCAATTATCCCCCTACCTAATTTTTGGGTTTTCATTTTGCTTTAGGTTTTTCTGTGACTGTGGTGCTGGAACACTGTCTAATCCTTGTACATTAGCTGGTGAGCCTACACATGATACAGATACACTATATGACTCTGCTCCACCTATAGAATCTAATACATTGCAGCACAACTGAATTCCTTCCCTAAAGAAAAAGTTCTGCCATTCTAACATCATAACTTAAAACATTTTTGGAAGAAGATTTAGTATTTGCCCATGCTACAGGAAGAGACTGTATTAAAAATGGATACATGAGGTCAGTTGACACTATGAAGCTCAAGCTACCAAAAAGAAAGTGGCAATATATTGACTCAGGATCTCAAAGCTGGGTGTTTTAGCATTACTGTGTAAAGACATTTGAAGGGACAGAAGTGAAAAAAAAAAAAGCTGCAATTTTGTACAGATACCAACTTCTGAAAAGCTGGTGTTTTTACAACTAGCATTGAATGCAGTCCAATTTGCAGTAGTACTCTCATCAATAGACAAGCAGCTTTGTTGCTGCCTTTATGGACATGGGTACCAATTGCTTTTTGTAATATGGTAAAAAATGTGAGCTAGCACTTCTGCGTTACTTTTGATTTTTTTTAACATGTATTCAGATTGAGAAATATGATTTTAATGCTTTAATCTCATGTAGTTTGTTTTTTAATTTCAAGCAAAATCTTATTGTACTTGAATGTGCCCTGTTTTGTTAGCACACCTAGACTTGCTGTAACTGTACTCATGTCCCAGTATGTACGTTCTTTCTATGAAAGAGAAAACACTAATCTTAAATTATATCCAGCAATGTTTCTGGTATCCTTTAAGAAAAGTTAAGACTATTATTTCCTTCCCTTCCCTGTGCAGCATTCAAAATCACCCTTAGAAAAGTGAGTGTTTTAATGAGACTTCCTAGGAAGGGATGCACTGTAAAACAAAAGTATTCTTGTAACTCAGTTTTGTGAAAGGTAAAAACTACTATGTTTTAAAGTACACTTTAGAAAGTCTCTTCAAAACAGTCCTGTATTTGAACTCTGTTCATAGTTTTTGTTTGGTTTTTTTTTTTGAACAGTTTAGACAAACTGCTGGAAATTAAAACAATTTCCTGCATTAAGCTGAGACAAGTATATATACAGCCCTATACAGTTTCATAGCTTCCCTCCCCCATTTATGTGTATTGGTGACAGTGGGTATAAACAGCCTGAAAGTGTATGCATGTACCATAACATCTAGACTTAATATATTGTGAAGTATTCAATAACCATTATGTAGAAGGTAGGTAAGAATTAAAAGGGTTTAATTTCCTAGAAAGAAAATGGAAAAATGGTCATTTTTAAAAAATAAAGTTTATTAGATCATAATGTTGTCTGAATTTACCACCTTTGTCAAAAAAGCCAACTCAAAGCTTCTGTTGTAGTCTATAATTCCTCAATCAAAGTCAGCAACTTATGGACAGCTTCAGCATCTAGAGTCGACCTTTCACTAGCCAGGCAAACTTCCCTTAAAATTAAAAAAAAGGGGGGGGGATCTATGTCCCTTTTGAATAACCTCCTCTGGAAGATTAGCAAGCCTTGCTGCATTAAAGCCATAGCTTTTAGGACAAGCTCCCTTAATGAATTTATAAAGGAAGGTAATAGTCTCTTGACTGGGATCTTCACATTCATTTTCTACCATGCATGCCTAAAAATGAGAAATATTACATTCACATGCTAGCAATGGAAGTATCCAATTTGATTCTCTCAGACACCTAATCAACTTCTGAAAAAGCAGTTTGCACATACCATGTGTCCTAAGCGCACTGCAACGTTTTGAGAATAATCTTCAACTAATGAATGATAGTGGGTAGAAAACAATGTACGACACTTTATATTCTCAGCAAGTTCTTTAACAACTGCACTTGCTATTGCTGTCCCATCAAATGTTGCAGTACCTCTTCCTGTGAAAGTAAAATAAGTATAAATTACAAAGTAATGCAAAAAAAAATCAGGATACATCGGTTAAAAGTTTTCTGTATTTAGGCCAAATAGGTCTTTTAGCCCTTGGAGTGGCACTGCTCAAGTATCACAGATCTTCAGAAACTTCCTGTTAATTCTCCTTAAATAGTCTCATTATCCCCGTATTATCACAACTAAATTTGAATAGGATTAAGAAATTTAATAATCAGACTTTTCACTTTATCTCATCTCCAGTTGTGGGTCTATGGTACAAAGTGAGTCCGTTAATACTGTTTTTAAAAATTTGTTTTAAAGATAGCCTTCAGATGGAAATTTTAATGTCTTACCTAATTCATCCACCAGCACCAGAGAATGTGCTGTTGCATGTGTAAGTATACTGGCAGTTTCACTCAATTCAACAAAAAATGTACTTTCACCTTCAGGGGGAAAAAACAAATGGGTGATCATTTTAAGAATCCTACTGCAACAGTAAATTCATCTTTTAAATTCATATTACTCGAATGTATCGTGAGCTGTCCAGTTAAATTTCAAGAAATTACTTAAGAGTAATTTACTAATTGAATAGCCTGAAAGCATTCTGCTTCACATAACACCAGAAAAATAATCAAATAACAAGCCTTACACAGAAAAATAAAAAAACCTCACCTGACATTATTCTGTCTGAGGCACCAAGTCTAGTAAACACTCTATCAATTGGTGTAAGCCTACACACTTCAGCAGGTACGTAACAACCCATCTGGGCAATTACAGCCAATAGGCCAGCCTGTGAATGAGGGAGGAAAAGATATTTTATAACTGGTTTAAAGAATATCATAAGATAGACATACAGAGAAATATCTCTCTATTGATACACAAAAGACAGTAAGCCAAGCTAAACAATCTTTCCTAAGAAACATCATGTAGGAAGAGTGAAACACTATAAAAAAAGAAAAATTTTCAAAATCCTAAGTAGGAAAAGTGAGGCTTATTAGAAGGCAAAAAATGGCTTAGGGGCCTGACTGACTTTAAAATCTCAGAGCTTGTATATTAACCCACAACACTAGTTGATTCTCAACTCTGGCTATACGGTCTTCAAACTACCAATGCCTAGAACGAATTCCAAACCAAATGAATTCATTTCAGAGGATGGAATCCTCCCTGTACATTTTTGTTCAACTCTGTAAGTGATTTGATTTTGAAACAATAGAGAGATTAGCATGGTCTTTATACAAGGATGACATGCAAATTAATGAAGTTGTTCACTTTCTTAAGGTTGAAAACCATTATACTACACTGTATGTCTCTCTAGTTAGCAAATCTGGTGAACGTAGTATAATATAGTACAGGAGAGCAGGAGGGTCAGCAAACATTTCTGTCAAGGGCTCAATGTCTTTGTCTCACACTCATTTTTTCTACAACCTATTAAAATGTAAATTATCACATAGGCCCTGGTATAAAGACAAAAATATATCTGTCTTCCCTAAAAGCAGTTCCCAACAGTTACTAGGTCACAAATTTTATTTGGTTTTCTGTCTATCATGGTTCTTTTGTAAGAATTCCTATAAATTAGTCTAATTGAAGGGCTTGCCTGAAACATTTGCATAATTTTCATTCATTATATGCATCTATTAATTTAAATCAAAAATCTTATAAAGAAACCATGACCTAAAATCTCCCTTGCCTTTTTAATGTATTCTTCCCTTAACATCAGGCAGCTAGATATCTGGTTCATGAGAAAAAGACAATTCTCAATTTTATATAGCACAATGAGTTTCCCTTTAAGTCACTGATTGAGTCCTATGTAATTCATGTGGTATTTGGAAAAGGATGGCCTAAATATGTTAATACATTCATTCTTAAACTGTTATATTAATAACTTTCTGTAGCAAAACCTGAAGTCAGTTTACCTGTCTCATGAGTGTAGACTTGCCTCCCATGTTAGGTCCAGTAACAAGCACACAAGAAGCTTTGCCATTTTCTTCCTCTTTCTCCTCACAGCCTATTAGAATGTCATTAGGAATAAAGTCATCTCCAAAAAAAGTCTTCGTAATGCAGGGATGACGGGACCCTTTAAGGTCTAAGAAGACAGGAGTGTCTTCTTTTGGTAATAGAACTACTGGCCGACACATAGGACCATCACCCCCTCGACTATAGTTAGCCAGGCACAATAAGACATCTGTTAAAGAAAGAGTCAGAGTGAGGTTCATCACTTTTGAGGTTTCTTGATAATCAAAACCCAACTTCTATAAAATGTCTTCCAAAAATGCTTTTTCAGTGGGGGTGCTATGTTCTACTTCCTTCCAGTTTAGACAAACAGTAGTGGCATCATTATCACTAACAGCACAATACCATGCTTTCATTAACTGTTCCTGAGTGTTATCTGTTATAGTATGTGGCTGCATATGGACTTTTGTAATTCTGAAGCTAAATTATCACTTTTGGGGAGAAACAGAACATTCTGACATAGGTACAATTATAAGAAGAAAATTCACCAATTTTGAACACCTGTACTGAGGGCGGATTTTTCTTTTAGTGGATTTGAGAGGAAGGGAGGAGAGAAAGAGAAACATTAACCCCTTCCCCAACAGTTTTTTTGTTAAAAACGTTTCTTTTTCAGACTAATTTTTTTATTTTGGTTCTATATAGTATTTTTGATGCTGGTTATGAAAACAGTTTGTAACTCGTCTTCCTATATACCATATTTTTTTTACCATATTTTCCTAGTATACTCGTCGACGACTGAAAAAGAACATTTTGTGAAAAGGAGTATACACGTTTCTGCCGGGGAAGGGGTTAAGAATTTGATAGGCATTTTCAGACTAATTTTTTTTATTTTGGTTCTATATAGTATTTTTGATGCTGGTTATGAAAACAGTTTGTAATTATTTTTTCTTCCCATTTTTGTGGTTAAGAATAGTATTTCCTCAGAAAGTTTCTAGATGAAATTATTTAGAATGGTACGTATGTAGCTGGTTTTTGAAGGTAAAGTTTTAGACGAGTATACTCGTCGACGACTGAAAACACGTTTCTGCCGGGGAAGGGGTTTAATAGGCTGCCTCCCACCCATGATCCTTCAGTGCACAGGACAACACTGCAACCAGCTGAACCACACACGCCAGGGAAAGGAAGGATTTTAATATACCCACCAAACTGTTTGAAACTGTATTGGCTTAAGGAAAAAATGTGGCACACACAATACAAAAATATACTATTCTATTTCTGACAGTTGGGTTCAGATCACAATTATGCTACAAATTTAGGTAAACTGGTAGCTATATTTTTTTAAACACAAAAAAAAAACACCCCTGAACAGTAGGGCTCCAAATAAGTTGGCCTTGAAATACAAAGAAAAATTTATGAAGCTATTATAAAATTACAAATACATAAATTAGGGCTCTTAGCCCAAATTATCACTTTCCTACGATTTCTAAGAAAAAGGAAAGATTAAAATCTTTTGAAAAGGCATGTCAAGATTCACTGAAAAACAGAAAATGCAAAAGTCATGAAAGAAATTAAGTGATGCGTTAGGGATAGTTTTAAATTAATGCAACAAAAAATAGATTAAAAACGGTATTCATGAAAAACAATGGAAATTGTCTCAAACCTGGCCAGTGGGGCTCAAGGGTTAGCGCATTATCCCATGCACCAGAATGGCCTGGGTTCAATTCCGTCAGGGCATGTGTTGAAGCCAATCAATCAATGTGTCTCCCTCTCAAATCCGTTTTTCTTCCTCCCTCCCTTTCATTCTCTCTCAAAATCAGTGGAAAAATATCCTCTGATGAAGATTAACATAAAAAAAAATCTTTTTAAGGCTGAAGGCCAGAAGGCTACTAAGTTTCCAGTGAACAACTTACATGACTATGGCCAACCTACTCATTTTGCCTAGTGAAAAGGCAAGTATATTTTATACTTGTCAAAGTATATATAACCTTGTTTTAGGGATATGCATCAATGGGGACTCTCCAATGGACTTAAGTTTTAATGCACAACTGGAACACAGAACTTTACTAACCAAAGCCTTAGAAGCTTGTTGAAAATCTTACCCAACACTGCGATGCATTCTACAGCAGCCTGCCAATTCTTGTAATTTTTATCAAAGTTATAGAATAGTCGTCGCATGCAGTCCTTCAATGATACGTCTCTCCGTTCTTCCGCATTTATCAAATTAGCCAACTTCTTCTCAATAGTTTTAGTCCAGTATCGTTTACAGCCCTTCTTGGTGGATTTCAACTCATATTCTTCTGGCAAATTACGGGTGGTGAAATTCTCTGGAATTTCCAACTGGTAACGGTTCCTACCAATTCCCCAATAGACTATGGTTCTACAGCCAATTCGACTGCGCTGTTTCTCCAAGTATTCCAAGAGGCTCTGCTCATTTTCTTTTATGTCAGCAAGAGCTTGGTCATAATCCGAGTCAAATCCTA